GGAGGATCGCGTGAGCTCAGGAATTTGAGACCAGCCTCGGCAACATAGTGAGACCCCATCTCTACAGAAAAAAAAAAAAAAAAAATAGCCGGGCATGGTGGCATGTACCTGTAGTCCCAGCTACTCAGGGGGTGAGGTAGGAGGATGGCTTGAGCCTGGGAGGTTGAGGCCACAGTGAGCCAGGATCATGCCACTGCACTCCAGCCTGGGTGGCAAAGCAAAAACCTGTCTCAAACAAAAAGAGAAGATGAAGAACTTAACACAATCACCCTCTCTGCATGCCCCCTCTTTGTATCTGTTTGCTCCTTATAACCGCCTGTCCTAGGTTTATAAAACCCACCTTTCTTTTGTAAATATTAACAATCGGCTATCTCAAAATTGCTTTCGGCTTTGCCCCCAATTCTGTGTTTATGTTTATAAAATTTATTGCAATATCTTTGTGGTTTTAGGGTTGGCTGCTGGCTTTTTTTCCTGTTCCCCTTACCCCAGTTTTAAATTCGTCATTTTGTTTCTCTATCCGATTTAGAGAATACCTTAGAGCAGTGTTTTCTGGCAGAGCACCCAAGTGCTACTCTTTCTAAGCCTATGTGTGTCAAAATTGTTTTGTTAGGTTCTCACCCTGCAAAACACCTAAGCCCAACTTTTCTTTAGACATGTTCCTTGTCTTCAAGAATTGGTGAGTGGGGACAGGGGAAGAAGGAAGGAATCTTGGAGTCGAGGGGAGCAGGCGGACGCCTTCTGATTCTTGGCCCGGAGCTCTCTGTCCACCACACTTGATGTCATAGCTGGTCAGCCTTATATGAAATCCATTCTAAATCTGCTGCCTAGACTCTTAGGGCCTTTTTTTTTTTTTTTTTTTCTGAGACAGGATCCCACTCTGTCACTCAGGCTGGAGTGCAGTGGCATGATCTCGGCTCACTGCCACCTCCACCTTCCAGGCTCAAGTGATCCTCCCATCTCAGCCTGCGGAGTAGCTGGGACCGCAAGCGTGTACCTCCATGCCTGGCTATTTCTGTGTTTTTTTTTTTTGTTTTGTTTTTTTTTTTTGCAGAGATGAGGTTTCACCATGCTGCCAGGCTGGTCTCAAACTCCTGGGCTTAAGCGATCCTCTTGCCTTGGTCTCCCAAAGTGCTGGGATTACAGGTGTGAGCCACTGTGCCTAGTTTCTTAGAGACTCTAAAACACCACACTTCTAGGCCAGGCACAGTGGCTCACGCCTGTAATCCTAGCACTTTAGGAGGCTGAGGCAGTGGATCACCTGAGGTCAGGAGTTTGAGACCAGCATGGCTAACATGATGAAACCCCATCTCTACTAAAAATACAAAAAATTAGCTGGGCGCGGTGGCAGGCACCTGTAATCCCAGCTACTCAGGAGGCTGAGTCTGGAGAATCACTTGAACCCAGAGGGCAGAGGTTATAGTGAGCCAAGATCGTGCCACTTCACTCTAGCCTGGGCTAAAGAGCAAGAATTTGTCTCAAAATGAACAAACAAAAAACCAGCTTCTCAAACTTTATTGTGCAAACATCTACCCTGCATCCCTTCTTAAAATGCAGAATCTGATTCAGCTGATCTGGGAGAGTCTGAGAGTGGGTATTTCTGACCAGCTCCTGGTTATACGCCTGGGTGATGCTGATTTTACAACAATTTTTTTCTAGTAGAGAGAAGAGCTCGCTATGTTGCCCAGGCTGGTTTTGAACTCCTGGGCTCAAGTGATCCACCTGCCTCAGCCTCCCAGTGCTGGGGCTACAGATGTGAGCCATCAGGCCCGGCTGATGCTGATGATGCTGATGCCGTTGGCCCAAGGACCACACTGAGTAAGTAGCAGGCTTCTGAGCATGGGCGTCCAATCATTTGGCCTCCCTGGGCCACACTGGAAGAAGGAGAATTGTCTTGGGTCACACATAAAATACACTAACAATAGCCGACGAGATTTAAAAATATATATATATGCAAAAAATTTCGTAATATTTTAAGAAAGTTTGGTAATTAGTGTTGGGCTGCATTCGAAGTCATCCTGGGCTGCATGCAGCCTACTGGCTGCGGGTTAGACAAGCTTGCTTTAGAGCTTTCAAAGATGAGTCATGCATGTTGTTGATTCTGTTTGATGCTCCTGATTGTTTTCTGTGAGGGAGGGCAGGTCCTGGGACAGTGAGCTCCTCCCTTCCTCCATCCCCTCCCCCCAACCCTCACCATTACCTCTGCCCCCCTTCTCACCCCAACCCAGCCCTGAGGACATGAGGGCACTGCCAGATGCCTGTGGACTTGACCCTCCCAGGATTAAGCCCTTCCCACCACCCACGCCCTACTCCTTTCCCTGACTTTGAGGAGAGAATCCCTGCCGCCCACCTAGCCCCCACGCTAAAACGGCTGGGATGGGGACTTCAGTACTACAGGGAGGAGGGAGGCACAGGGTCGGCTTTATGTCTTCATTCAACACACCAAGCACACATTATCCAGCAGAACTCTGCCAGATTCGGGAAAGTCAGTGGCCTCTGTTCTGCAGGAGGCTACAGTCTGGGGGAAGGAGTGAGTGACAGCCTGCCACAGGGGGCGCAATATCGAGGCACTGGGCCCTGGACCCAGGCCAGGAAGGAGGAAGCTGCCAGGCACAGGTCAGAGAAGGCTTCGTGTGGAGCTCCGCCCTGAAACATGAGTAGACGTCAGCCACGCCGAGAGAGGGCAGGCTGCACCAGGTCACCCACCATGCTATGAGGACTCTAAGATCCTTGAGCCAGTGGAGGGAATGAGGATCAGGGCTCATCTGGGGACTGGGGATGAGGAAGGGATGGGTGAGCAGACTGGAGATGCAGGCAGATGCCACCTGAAGGACTGCCTGTGTGCCATACTCTGTGTGCCTGGGGGTCTGGGGACAGAATTCCCCCAAATGCCTGCTTCTGGCTTTGTGCTGTTGGTATCTTCTTTAGGCAGATATTCTTGGCTGTCACTGCACTGACCTTTAAGGCTACTCCGACTCCGTGAGTGACCACCCACGCCTTCTCCCCTCCAGTCTTCGGGGAGGAGCCCCCACCTGCTTTCCTTTGGCATCTCCACGAGTTCCCTCCAGGCCTTTCCGCAGAATTCCCTCGCCAGGAATGTTCTCTGCCCTTCTCCACTTAGTTCATTCCTGCGTATTCTGCAAAACCTCTGCCACCCTTTTCTGTCTGCTCCCAGGCTGGTCAGGCAGAGCAGATCATCCTGTGGACGGGGACTGGATGTGCCCCCTGGTCACCTGCCGCGTGGCACAGTGACTACCTGTGGGGTCTGCTGACTACTGCCTGCAGGGACACGTGGTGAAGGACCCTGAAGCGCCTGCCCGTCCCTCCACCACGACCTCTGGCTGCTTTTGCTGTGTGTCTAGCCGTGTGCAGTGTCCCCTTGCTCGCTGGCGCCTGCTTTCCTAGTCCTCCCCAGATGCCTCTTCTTTGCACCTGCTGAACCAGAGGGCTGTGCTCTTTCACGCAGTAACACTTGTGGCTGAAAAGTCACTAGTAACCCCGCACCCCCCATCATCACAGTCAGTGGTCCCTAAAATCTGCCCTGGGTTTGGTCCAACCCACCTTCCACTTTGCCTCTCATAACCAATCCTTGATTTATGCCCAGGTGTCCTCAAGCCCACATCCTGATGGCTACCCCTCTGTTAGACTGTGCCTCTCACAAAAGGCCCTTCCCTTATCCGTCTCTGACTCTCAGGCCAACTCCTGCCCTACTTCCACTCACTGACCTTCCCTGACCAGGCGATAAGCACTGCCTGCCCTCAGAACCCTGCCACACCACTCATTGGGAAGATAATTTCATGTTCTCCATGGGGTCACTCTGTGTTCCCCTGTGTGCACAGGGTCTGGCACAGGGCAGGGCTGCAAAAATATCTGTTGACTGAGTGTGCAAATGTGATCTCTTTCTCCTGGCAAAGTTTCCTGAAGGTAGGGGCCATGTACTCTCTACTGCACGGCTGATGTTATACCCAAAGCTAGTCTGCCAAATATATTAGCTTATTGGCAGCTTCATGCCACCAATCTGGTGCTAGCCTCTTTAAGTAGATTGACTATACACAGATGCAGGCAAATACACACACATGCACGAGTGCACACACACACACAAGACATGGTTGCTTTGTTTTTAAGCCCAATGTGTAAGTCCAAGAAGCTCTTTGGAAATCATGAAGAGAACTCTGTGATAACAGAAATGTTTTCTATCAGCTCTATCCAATATGGTAGCACTAGACACACGTTGCCATTGAGTACTTGAAATGTGGCCAATGTGATTGGGGAACTGAATTTTTAATTGCATTTAATTTAAATGTATCTAGCTCCATGAAGCTAGTGGCTGCCCTCTTAGAGTGGCAGTTCTGGACCTGCTCTAACTGCTGCCCCTCACCGTCTCTTCCCTAGACCCCTGAGCTCCTTCCAGCGCTGCCCGAGGTGCCCTCTACCTGTTTCTGCCTCTCTTGTCTGCCAGTTTGCTTTGGACCTCAGTCCCCGTGCTGTTGTCAAACATGTGTTTGGCCTCTGGCTACACAGTGCCTGGGAGGAAAAGAAGAGTCCGGCTTCTGCCTGGCTTCCTCATCGGGGAGGGGAGTGGAAGTGACAGCCTCCTGATGGCTTAGAAATGTGGAGGACGTATTGTGTTCTGGACAGGGCCAGCCATATGAATGACATCTCTTGATTTGAACCATCCCTACCTACACCTATGGGCACCCCCTTGAGGTGGGGCAAAGTAGGATCTTGACATATGACTAGCCCTTGGGAATAAGACCGTGGAAGTAAGGCAGACACGGGGTGATTTCATCATTCTTATTATCCCTAAGCAACTGGTTCTCTTAGGTTATCCTTAGATAACATTATCCTTAGATAAAATGAAGCCCGCTTTAATAGATAATGAAAGGCAAGATGATGACATCCTTTGCGTGTTTACTATAATATGGCAACATTTTCCAAACCAGAGTCAATGTCCTCGGCTCTAGGTGAACCCCTTCCAAGCAATGCAAAAGACATTCCAAACGTGACAATTAAGACAGGTCTTTATTTCTCTGACAGTGACTTCTTGAAGTGCACATTTAATAAATAAATAGAAAATATATCTTTGTTCATAGTGATGCCTACAAGAAATGTTTACATACAAACACTCTATACATCTAACTTCCGAAAAAGGACCAGCTATTTCGGCAACAGGTAAAAGACAAGCATTTCAGAGGAGCATTGCTTTCCTTAAAGACCTAACTCACTTACATCTTACAAATAACAAGGAGAATAGTTTTCTAAGCAGTAAGAAAATTGCTACCAAGAAAATGCCGCGATATTGGCTCTTGGTGAATGGTTTAGGAAAAGTTTTATGTACAGATCCCGTACTGTGAAACATATGTACAACTCTGAGAACTTTCAAATAGAATCTTTTTTAAAATGAACTGAGCCAAAGACATTCAACATTCCTGGCCACCTGAAAGTGATCACATCCTAAGTGGTTCACAGTGTGAGACCCTTGCTTTAAAAGAGTGAAAACTCAACAAAACCGTGGACAAGAAGGACATGAGGTCATCGGAACTCTCCTCTCTGGCACCGCTAATCTCCCTGGAAGAGGTCTTTCCTGTAATTCTGGCCTTTGAAGTGGCCATATCTTTAAAAGCAGAGTACAATGGTCACTTCCCAGCAGCTGAAAGATGTTTGGTGGGAAAGACCTCCCTGGTAGTCGGCTCCCACCTGGGCAATGGACTCTTGGACCGAGTCTGATGTGTGCAGCTGGGTGGAGGGAGCCAGGCAGGCCCTCTTTGAAGGAAAGAGTTTGTGGTTGGGGCAGGAAAGGGGATAAACATAGTTCATCATCACAAGACCCAGGGAGACCCCATCGCCTTGTGCAAGAGTATAAACCACAGAGAGTTCTCCCTCTTCCAGGAGCTCTTTGGGCTCTAAGGTGGGCTAGGGAGCGAGAAGGGCATTTAGCACCCAGATGGACTGGGTGGACCCAACAGCTGTTCAGACACCCAAGATCAGCCAAATTGGCTCGCCAGAAACATGGCTGGCCCTACCCCATCTGCTGGGCCGCACCTGTAGAGCTGCAGAGACAGGAGAGCTGGCAGCCGCTGTGTACCCCGGCTGGGCTGACAGGTAGTGGGCAAAGTGAAGGCCACAGGGACCACCAACACCAAGGGGTTTGTGTGTTCGGGGAGCAGGAGGAAGACAGTGGCTCATTGTCATTCTACTCTAATTGTTTTCTTTCCTTCGAGGGGACTTGTCCCCATTTCCAGAAGCTGCTTCAGGAGCCCCTGGGCACTCTGGGGCTGACTGTTGAGGCAGTGTGGTGTGGCAGCAAGGGCTGGGGTGGGGCTCCCCGGGCCCTCCCCTGGCCGTGTTGTTCTTTCCCATCTCGGGGGCTCATTTTCCCCATCTGCTAAAATGAAGGCTTTGGGCTAGGTATTTTCAGTATTTCCAGCTCTGAAATCCCAGGCTGAGGGAGTGTAAGCACATCTAGGGTCTCCTGGAGCCCCCACTGCTCAGTCCCCGGGATGAAGAGCAGATGAGGCCCCAAGGCAGGAGCTCACTTCCTTGAACTTCACTGTACTCTCTCGGAGTCAGAGGCAGGGCTGCCGGGGAACGCATTCCTCAGTGCTCTGGGCATAAGCTGTGAAGCCCATTGCTCCCTCTGACCACACTTTATCATGAGTGGGCCGACGAGGAGTGGGCAAAGGGCAACGCTGCAGTCACCAGCGGAAGCAGGGAGGGCCCAATCCCTCCCCGACCCACCCCAGAGGCTACCTCTCCCCCCACCAAAATGCCCCCAGCCTTCATTGCTGTAAGTGAGAAGCCTTCCTGACCCTCCCCTCTGAGATGGCACTGGTCTCTGTTTTACCTCTGTGTGATTTCTCTGTCTGGCGTTGCAGTGCACATGGACCTGACTGCAGGCCCCTCGATCTAGGCATTCATTCTCACCTCTCCATCCTGTGTGCCCTGGGGCACCCAGCATCGTGGCTAGCAGAGGAAAAGAATGTTTTCCTCTACTGTTGGGTTTCAGGTACCATGTGAAATACTGCAGATTTCAGGACTCTCACAGCTACAAGGGCCTTTGGGAGTCATCTAGTCCAAATCCCAGCCTGCCACCCAGTCTCCTGAAAGGTGGACACGGCCAGAGGCGGGGCTTGCCTCTTCCCCGAGGGTAGCCAGTTCCGCCTCAGCTCCTAATCCTGTGAGGCTGGCACTTGCCTACAGGAGTAAAGATTTCCTCAAGGCCAAGGCTTTCTCTACATTCACCACCCTCACTTGTCTGCTGCAGACCATGGGGATCTGCAAATGACCCGCCCTCCAGGCTACCTCCTAGCTGGGTAGGGGATCCTGGCAAGGTGTATCTTTGCTGTCCGCAAAACCTAGGTCTCCTGATATGGTCCCCACACCCCACTGAAGAGTCACAGATAGGAGAGAAGCACCCAAGAGGCTGCAGAGAAGTGAAGGTTTCCAGCACCGCCACAGGGGCTGCAGGTAGACACTTGAGTGGGGGCAGGTGGCAGCACCAGGGTCTCTAATATCCTTCCCTTGGCCCATCAGGGCTAATACATGGTCTTCCCAGGCAGCTGCTGGTAGGGGCTGGGGAACTCAGCCATCCCCCAGTGGTCTGCTGCCAAGAGTCAGCATCATAGTCCACCATGAGGTGGCACCGGGCGGCAGCTGTCCTCACAGCTTCTTCTTCTTCACCACAGGAATGGGCACAACTTGGAAGATTTTGGCCTTGTGATCCTCAGTGTCCAGAGTCACCCAGATGGGCCGGAAGCTGCCTTTGAAGCCAACAAATGCCATTTGCTCTGAAAAGCAATGATGAGCTTCCTGAGCAAACGCCCTATGAGAGGACGGCTGCCCCGCCCTGTTCCAGGGCTCCCATCACCAGCCCCTGCCTGCACCAGGTAAGGTACCCCCCAGCCACACTGCACTGTGACCCCCTGGGAAGAGCTCTGTGTTCAGCTACTGCTGGTACCTGACATGTGTTTGTATGGGGCATGCAGGGGCTCACCCGAGCCTCATGACTAGACAGGGCGATGGCCTTGCTATAGACAGGGGAGCCATGCATAGCAGGAAATGGGGCAAAATGTGAGGGAGGAGACTTCCTAGGAACCTGCCTACCTTCGAGCTGCCCCTCTAGGATCACCAGCAAGTCCCTGCCCTTCTCTAAAGCCCAGTGTTCCCATCCATCAAATGATGGCATTTATCTACAAGATCTCCTTCCACTCTCTATCACTCTGTGGCTTTGAAAGAGTTCTGAGAGAAGGAATTTGACCAAGAGTGTGGAGCCAAGGTGCAGCCCGAATGAGAACTCGAAGCCCCTGAACCCCACACAGCACCTCCACCTTGCAGTTCAGAACTTGTCCATCCAAGGGACATGGGGATCCACATCCACACTCAGTTCATCCTGGCAGGGAACGTGCATTTATCACCGCCGGGAAAGTGCCATTCAACTCAGGTCCCTTTACATGCATCAGCTTTTGGCAGCCAGGGTCTTAATGTGAAAGACAGAGGCTCCGAAATGATTCCAGGACTTGGCTGGAAAGGCTCCTTCTCTTTTCGTATGTTTTCCTTTAGCGGGTTGAGGGGTGTGCATTGCTTCTGGTTTTTCTCCTCACCCCATAGATGGGCTTCTGATTTTGGTATTTTCCGTAGTGAGGATGGCATCTAACTAAACAGCCCAGCTTTGGGTTAAGAAGATTAGGATCCAAATCCTAACCTTAAACAAGTGGCCTGGCTGTGAAATTCTCGGTGTTTTCATCTTAGGTGGAAATAGTAGTACCTGCTGCACAAGTTATTAACGAGTGAGTGAGATACTTACGCTCTGCAAAGCGCAGGGCTAACCTACATAGCATGGTCATGGTCATGGTCATACTGCCCGTGGAGCTGCTCTGCCTCCCACACAGCCTCCCTGAGGACTCTCCCTGAACCTAGTTTGTTTGATGATAATGGGTGCCATGCTTCTGTGTCCCTCCTGGATGGCTTCTTCCAGCCCAGCCAGCAAGCCTGTACTAGGCTTCACCACCGGAGAGCTGCCTGGCCTTGGACAAGCCACGTAGATCCTCTGGGTTCTAATTTTCTTTTCAGCTACCTATCAGAGGAACACATAAGAGTTTTGCAAGCTGCCAAGGACCGTCCATATGCTGGGCATCAGGTGGGATGCTGAGAAAGATGCAGGACCCCTGGCCAGTCTGAATAGCAGGAACTGTGTAGGAGGGCTAGACTAAGCCACTTTTCTTACAATACTTTTGTTGGATAAAGGGCCACCTTCCAAGCAAATGAGTGAACAACTCTAGCAATTTTCTTTCAGTGTCTGCCAGCAAGTTATAATACATTTGCTGCAGTTCAGGGTGGGAAACAGGTGGCATCTTCCCGTCCATTCCAGTAGACCACTGGTTGTATAGGGGATTCTGAGGTTGTACCCAATTAGTACAAAGCATATTCTCAACTCAGCAAAAGAGGAAAGCAACGTCCATGCCAGCCATTTGCCTTCTCTGGTTTTGGGGTCAATTTAATCCCCAGTTCAAACCCTTACCTTTCAACTTGAGACCCCTGTCTGCCCCAAGCTTTTCCAGCACTCTGGTCCACGGGCCTCTGGAGATGTATCTTCCCTTTGATACCATGAGCACTATGGAACTGTATGAGAAGAAACCGATTAGACCGGAGAGAGACTGCAAATTGGAGCAAGTGGGCATGGGGAGGGATGCTGGGTTGTGCATGGTGGGACTGGACTTGGCAGTGCCCAGATGTCTGGCCAGAAATTCAGGAAAGGGCAGCCTCTCCTGTGTGCCGAGCTGACCGGCTCTTTCCGTGTGATGACAGACATCCTGAGCTCCCTCCCACGCATCTGGCCACAGTTGGTGCCCATGGCCTTCTCCAAGCCTGGAGTCTGCTTGTGGCCTTTACATGTCTCTCTCCAGACAAAGGAGAGGGTATAAGTGGAGTACAGCGTGCCGGGGCTCGGCACGCAGGACTTCAATATGCATTTCTTCCCTTGAATGCTGTCAACCCTGGTTAGGTAGGACCAGATCGAAGTGGTGATGGAGAAAGGAAGGAGAAAGGGATGAGAAAGAGAAGAGGTGAGGGGAGGAGGAGGGAAGTATCTGTCATATAAAGCCATCCAGGAGCGCCTGAAGGTTCTAGAAACCAGCTGCATTTGGCATCACCTGGGATTTCATTAGAACCACAGAATTCCTCCACTGCAGACTTTCTGAATCAGAATCTGCCTTTTTGCAGGCTCTCCAGGTGATTGTGTATATGTTAAAGCTCGAGAAGCCCCATGCTAGAGGATTTCTCTTGGAGCCCATCTTTCTTTTGCTGTCTTCTTTTGATGGACACAGGCTGAGTGTAGTCCAGAGCCAGCCTCCTTTGAGCTGCAGGAAGAGCATGGCCAGGTTTGAAGTCTTTCTGGGGAGAACATGTCCTTACCATGATACTTGGGTTGTACCAAGAGCTCAGATTGACCTCTCATGTTCATGTCACCCCTCTCTGGTCAGGCAAGACAAGGTTACTGCCTCGATTTTGCAAACGGGGATATTGAAGCAAATAGTTATCAAGTATCTCAGAGGACCTACCAAAGGAAAATATGCTTGAAAGAGGCAGAGGTTTGGAGCAACGTGCGTGCCCAGCCTGAAGGTCCCAAATTGCAAAAGTTTGACTTGGAATTAAGGAGTGTCTACTCCCTGTCAGGGGATGTATTCAGTCCAAAGTGCTGGGAAAACAGCTGTCACAGTGGCAGACTCAGCACGCCAGGCCAGACAGGAGGACGTGGGCACCTCCCCTGGGACTAGCAACGGGGCAGAAGCTCAGTGGGCATCCACTTCGTATCTCAAAGGAACTCTGTAACCATAGACCACAGTCCGGACATGGAAAAACTGTGCAGGAATCTGGAACCCGTTGTTACCCCCATTTGTGTTCCCCTGGGAGCAGCAGGAAAGATCTTAAGATGCAAAGGGCTTGTGTGTAATAAGGATAGATGGGAAGGGAGCTGGGGCTGCCTCAGGCCCTGGAGGAAGGCTGGAGAGGGAGGCCCAAAGCGTGGTGGGGAGCGGCCCCTTAGGCAGAGAGGGCTCATCGCAAACACAGTCTCCACTCTAGATTCAGGATCTGTTCTCAGGAGGAGCTTTCTACGTTGTTTCATTTCAGAACAAAAGCTAATGGTCCTTTGTTAAAGGTGCTGAGGAATTACCAAAGGTTGTTGCTAAGGAGAGGGGATACAGGTTTTCCCTACATTTAAGAGTTCAAACCAGCAGGCAATATGGAGGATGGGTGGGAGTTGGGGGAACTGGAAGGGGGGGCCAGTTAGGAGACTGTGCCAACGGTGCCGGTGATGAGCAGCAAAGGCCTGGGCGGAGCAGCAGGAGAGAGGATGCTGTGGAGGGAACCAGCAGGCGAGCTATAATGCAGGTGGAATTGACAGGGTGTGATGATAGCTTGTGGAGGAAAGAGAGGAGCCAAACGGAATGCCCAGATTCTCGTCTAACTAACTATCAGGGTGGGTGGTGATGATTTGATCAAAACTGAAGGAATAGGATGAGTGGCTGGTTTAGGGAGGTTGAACATTTTAAAAGGCTGAGAATGCAGTTCCTTATAAGACGTCCAGGTGGCGTTCTCCAAGTAGCAGTTGGGTCAGTGTCTGGCGCGCAGGAAAGAGATCCAGGCTGGAGATAGTAGCCACCAGCACTTGGATCGTGTTGAAGGTGTGGGAGGGGATGAGATCACGCCGGGAGTGTAGTGCAGAGGAACAGGGCAGCCTTCCCATGTGCAGCGGGGCTGCCCCGTCAGCCTCCGCCTGACCTACATTCACAGCAGCCTGGCTCCAGCCCCAGAGTCCATAGGCGAGGAAGCTCTCGTCCAGCACCCATGATTTGTGGGTAGGTTGTAGAGACTGCCTGAGCTTTTCCAGACTGATCTGTGATGAGGGCCTTTGTGAGAGGGAGAGGGCCCTTGCCCAGGGGTCTGCCAATTCCAGAAACAGAGGCACAGACTCACTTGTCAGGGACAGCCGCCATGTAGTTGAAAAGCTGCCATGGTATGCCCTGCAGAATGGCGTTCCTGAAGCTCATGTGGCTCACCACACGCCCTTGGTGCCCATCAATCACCACCACCTGGATGCCATCCTCCGAGCTGGGGTACTTCTTCCCATCCACCTGCAGAGCCAGAACCACCCAGGTGTGAGGCGGGGTGCTGAAGCCCCAAGGTTCTCCTGCCCGGGGGGTTCCCAAGCAGACCCTGAAGGCAGAAGCCGCCTGTGCTGCTGTTCGAAGCATAAACTCCATTATCACTTCACTCCCTGTAGCCCTCAGTGGTGGGTGAAATAATGGCCCTGCAAAAGATATGTCCACCCGGAACCTGTGAAAGTGAACTTGTCTGGAAATAGAATCGTTGCAGATGGAATCAAGTTAAATATTATTTGATGAAACCATTTGGATTTTTAGTCCAGGTAGGTGCCCTTGCAAAAGAAAGGAAGGGGACAGGTGAGAGTCAGACACTCAAGAGAAGAGGCCACATAAAGACAGAGATTAATGTGTCTGCAAGCCGAGGAATGCCCAGGAATGCTGGCAGCCACCAGGAGTGAGAAGAGGCAGGGAACAGATTCTCCCCTGAGCCCCCTGAGGAAACCACCCCTACCAGCACCTTGCTCTTGGACTTCTGGCCTCCTGAACTATGAGAATAACTTTCTCTTGTTTAATGCAAGCCACCCAGTTTGTGGTAATTTGATACAGCAGCCCTGGACACAGTGTCACCTCTCAATGAGCAAACCCGAATCCTGCAGGGGCCAGAGGCGCTTACCTCGATGTAAGCGAAGTCATTCCAAAGGTGGAAGAAGTGCTGCTTGAAACTCTCCATCTTCACCTCCAAGAAGTGGTCCTTTGTTTTCTGGAAAACATCAACCCCAATGCAATTTTCAGGTTTGGGTGGTCATTCCCCTCCTCTTCCCGCATCCCCAGCCACAGGAGATGGTTTGTGGAGCTGAGTGGTGGACCTAATTGGATCTGGGCCAGATTGGGTGGCAGAGGGGTCCAGGCTTGCTGTCAGTCACTCACCAGCTGAGAACCAAAGAGCTTCTTGGGCATTGGCACGTCCACGACAGCTCTCTCTGCGAACCTGGGGTAGGCTGTGGCTGTGCAGTCACTGATGCCTGCGTTCTTTGGGATCAGAGCTTTAATCTTGATCCTCTCACAGCCTTTCATGGAGCAGAAAGCAAACCTCTCTCTCTCGTTCTGAGCTTTCAGCTTCAGGAACAGCAGCCTGCACACAGGGAGCATTGCTGGACGTTTGCCTGGGCACTCAGAACTGCTCCCTTCTCCTCCCTCCCACTGAGACATTTACCATAAGCTGGTCATAGCAGGTAGACCCAGAGGCGTTACAGAATGGAACCATGTCCACCTACCACAGGGTTGTATGTAGCTGGAGAAATAAGGAACAAATGCATTGAAGAAAAAGCCAATGAGAATGGCAGTTCTATTCTGAGCACATTTTATGTGCCATGCCGTGCACACATGGTAAATCGACAAATGTAATCCTCAAACGATCCTGTCCAGTAGGTACTATTGTCATCCTGAATTCTCAGATGGGGAAATGGTGGCTCAGAGAAGCAAAGTGACTTGCCCAGGACCACACAGCTGGGACGTAACAGAGCTAGGCTTTTCCATGCCCACATTGTGCCTGCTGAGGAAGTGTTCCGTCTTCCTTACTCTGCTTTTCTCCATTTATCCCAAACATCATTTTATAATTTATTAAACAGTCATTATTATTGTAAAGGAAGCTGACCCAGTGTTACAGGAAGTCAGATTGTAAGGAAAACACAGCACCCGCTTGGGATTCATTATTGCTCTTTTAGGGCAGAAAAGCCCTTTCAGGCTGAATCCCGCATCTGAAACGTGGGAAGAAATGATATGGGGTGTCTAGCACCCATCCTGCTCTGGCAAGCAAGCCTGCACTGAGCTCGGTCAGACTAGGCAGCTGGGTTTGCCCCACAATGCCATCACCCCAAACCTGTCCACACAGCTGCTCAGACCAGGGGCACACACTGGGTTCGAAGCGGGGCCATGATTGGCTACCCAGTAACCAAGAGCCTCGCTCTCATGGGACCCAGCAGGTCTTGGCCAGTACTGATTGGTGCTTGAACTAAAAGACCACATGGAGTTGGGGCTGACAAGCTTGTTGTGCCTGCTGAGGAATCGAGAGAGGAAGGCAGTTCGCAGCAAGTAGCTAAAACAAGAGGCCAAGCATGTGTGTGACGGTGGGGAGATGGGGAGATGGAGGGACGTGGGGGTGGGCAGGCCGCCTCCTCCCTGCTGGCTTTGCTGTTTCCACTGCCTGAGCCCTTGAGGCCCAGGTGGGTTTTTATGTCTTCAGGGCCCCTTGGTTTTCTCTCTGTAGCACCTCCACTTATTCTGAGCTTCCTTGAGTGGCTTTATGTTTCAAGCCATCCACATCAAGTGATCTCAGAATAAAGTAGAAACTGACTTACTGAGTTACAGAGGCTGCCTGCTCAGGGCTGAGAGCAGAGCAGCCCCATCTGCATTCCATGCCCTGCCTGTGGGGGATGCTGGGGAGGCAGGTAGTTTTGAGCAGCTTAGGAGGAAGGTAGTTCACTGCCACCCATGGTCACATCTCCCTAGAGGCTCCCAACATGATCCAAACCACTCCTGGGACCAAGGCACAGAAATGGGATTGGTCCTGAGGCTTCCACACAAAATTTAACAGTATTCAGGTTTCCTTGTTGCCATTATATATCAGATAATCTAAACCGGGAGGAACCTAAACGACCATCCAGCCCATGCTAGATAGCAGTTGCCTTCCCTAATCCTGACCTGCAACTTGGATGCATGCCAGCTGGCTGAACTGCAAGGCCCTGGGAGGCATGAAAGGGGCAGGGGCTGGGCATCTGCCAGCCCAGTGCTCAGACCCTGGCTATGACCAGGGAATGTGGCAGAGCAGCACTCCTGATGGCCGTGCACCTTAAATAACATACTTGTTTATAATTTAGTAAGAATCATTATAATAATTCACTGAGATGGTGTTAAGCAAACTTAGCTATCCAGAACACAGCTGTAATCAATTACCTTTTTTTTTTTTTTTTTTTTTGAGACAGTCTCCCTCTGTCGCCAGGCACCAGGCTGGAGTGCAGTGGCGTGATCTCGGCTCACTGAAACCTCTGCCTCCCAGGTTCAAGGAATTCTCCTGCCTCAGTCTCCCAAGTAGCTGGGACTATAGGTACCTGCCACCACGCCCAGCTAGTTTTTATATTTTTTAGTAGAGACAGGGTTTCACCGTATTGGCCAGGATGGACTCGATCTCTTGACCTTGTGATCTGCCCGCCTCATCCTCCCAAAGTGCTGGGATTACAGACATGAGCCGCCACACCCAGCCAACAGTATTTTTTAACTTGGAAAAATTGAGAGATGATTCAGAGCTTATATATTTCACACTTTGAAACCCCCCTTTTTAGCCGACTTATTTTAATTTTCCCCCTAATTATAGCAAGCTGGTTGTTAAGTATCCTAGTCCATAGATTATTAGAAGGTGGCTGCTAAGGGCAGGTGCTCTGAATGTAAGAAATAACAAATGCATAAGGCAGAAAGATGTTTGAAAGCCCAAGAGTTTGCAGCCCTTCTCCGTAGGAAACAGACTCCCTATAACCGAACTCCTAGTCCCTAAGAGCATGGCTGAATTGAAACACAACCTAATGGTCAGTAGGCATAGGGCCAGGCTAAGCTACCCACCAAAAGGTTGCCTTATGCAGCAAAATGTGCTTAAGGTGACAAGTGGACAAGCCTTAGATTTTTAAGACTTTGGTCAAAGAGGTTCAACGTATTTCGTGGAAGTTTCCATTTGAAAAATTCAATCTTTTGAACATTTCAGCACATGAGCTGAAAAGAAGAAAATATGCGCGGATGGTATCACAGGGACTTTACCTTATCAGCATCTGTTATTTTAATCATAATATTTCCTAGTGGTATGTGCAGCGTATCTCATGCTCCTCTTCTGGCTTTCATTTGGGAGGATTTTCCTAAATACTCCTGGCCCCTGGTCCCTCCCCTCATCCGCTTCTTCCCAGGGAAGTGAGTGTAGCATATAATTGGTTAGTTTTGGGTATTTGGCTCAGCCCGTAGAGCAGGGGTACTCTGGTCTGCCTTCCATGCTCTGAGGTTTGCGGGCTGGTCCCTATGTGGGGAGCCTGTAATTGCTCAGTGCTACCTGGGGCTGGAGAAATAAAACTGGGGATGATATTGGGAAGCTCTGTTCTCTAGCGGCTTTATCATCAGTGAAATGGATCGCTGCTTCCTCACCTGCCAGCGTGTCTGCTCCCAACCAGCTTAGAGCTTTTTTGGGAATTTTTAGTGCCCTTCCATCCCAACATTTTACTTATACTTTTGATTTTCAAATTTTAATTTGCCCTTAATTAAATTGATGGAGCCATAAATAAGATAGGTCACCTGTTATCAATTTCCTTATCATGGACTTCCAGATTAGAATAGAAAACTGGCCATGAAATGATCTTTGACCCTTACTCCTCACAGTTTACTATCAATAGCTTCATTGCTGTGAAGCTGGGTTGGCTTTTTTTTTTTATTTAAAAAGACGGCATTTCACCATGTTGGTCAGGCTGGTCTTGAACTCTCGACCTCAGGTGATCCGCCCGCCTTGGCCTCCAAAGTGCTTGGATTACAGGCGTGAGCCACCACGCCCAGCAGCATTCTTAAGATATTAGACTAAATTTCTTTTTAAGAGGGGGACCAAAGAACTCCCAGGAACAGATATTCTGTTTCCATTATATCTCTATTGAATAAATCCAGTGCAGGTTAGCAAAAGGGTGAGGGTTTTGAAGACAGATCTAGGCTGATATCTAGGATCCAGCTGGGTCAACTTTATGCTGCGTTCTCAGGAAGTCTCTCCTATTTTTCCTGTGACTTCTTTGCCCATCTCTTCTTCTTTTTTTTTTAGATGGAGTCTCGCTGTGTCATCCAGGCTGGAGTGCAGTGGCGCTATCTTAGCTCACTGCGACCTCCGCCTCTCAGGTTCAAGTGATCCTCCTGCCTCAGCCACCTGAGTAGCTGGGATTACAGGTACGTGCCACCATGCTCAGCTAGCTTTTGTATTTTTAGTAGAGACGGAGTTTCACTATGTTGGCCAGGCTGGTTTCGAACTCCTGACCTTATGATCCACCCACCACAAGTCCCAGCTTGTAGTTGGGACTACAAGTACCCACCACCATGCCCAGCTAATTTTTGTACTTTTAGTAAAGATGGGGTTTCACCATGTTGGCCAGGATAGTCTTGATCTCCTGACCTCAAGATCCGCCCGCCTCGGCCTCCTGAAGTGCTGAAATTACAGGCGTGAGCTGCCATACCAAGCTGCTAATCTCTTAAACCTCTGCTCCAAGTGGGCTGTGAGGATTTGAGATAATGCACCATCTTTTCTGGATTCTAAGATTTACTACCTTCGCTTTTTTTCCTGAAATACGTAAATTCCCCCACAATTCACATGTATATTTAATAGAGTGTTTTACTTTTAAAGCTTAACAGCTTTAAAAATGTTGGCCAGGTGTGGTGGCTTATGCCGAGAAAAGTGTCTTACATTAACTGGCATTAACTACCTGGTTGTTCTTAGGATTGCTGGAAAGGCCAGGTGGACAAGATGAGGTCCAGCCGCTTTCCTGCAGCCACATGGCCAGCCACTCACCCTGAGTCCTCATCCCAGTAGTAGTGGCTCCTGCCAGGATAGCTCTGCTCCACTTTGTCCATCTGCAAGGTCCTCACGAAGATGCCCGTCTTGGACGTTTGCTTCAGCAGGCGATTGTGAACGTCTGAGACGATGGAGAAGGTGGTGCCTCGCGGGTAGCAGAGCCCCACTCGAATCCAGTCGCCCCTAGGATGGGAAGCAGAGTCAGGTTACAAGCAAGGGTGTCCTGGCCACAGGGCCTTTGGGGTATGCCTTGGAGAAGGAGACCAAAAAATCTCCACCAAATGACACCTCCATTTTCATATGGGAAATTCTGAAAGAAAATTTGCTGTTGTGATAACCAAGTTGCAGTGCTCAAGGAGAGAGTGAGAGACAGTGGCTGCCATGAGCAGAGTCTGAATGCTTTACTCATGTGTCTCCAGGGCCAACCCCCCGGGTGCTCCCTGTGGAAGTTTGGGAAAAAGACATTCTTTTTGTAGTGAAAGAGCAGAGGGTCCAAAGGACCTAGGCTCAGCCCCTTCTGGGTCCAGCTTGACTGCAGGGCCCATTTCATCTCTTCCATCTCATTTCCCACAACTGATAAATGTCTGTCTGTCTCACAGGAATACTGTGACAAGTAAATAAAATGCATAGAAAATATTGAATCTAAATATATGAAGCCCTATCCAGATGCCCTTGGTCTCATCACTTTGCCTGGCAGAGCCTCATTTCCCTCTCTGTAGAATGGTAATAGCAATACCCAGATATTTTTGCCATCTATCAAGCACTTGCTAATGCCAGGTCCTGCATGCCCATCAGATCCTCATTGCACTTCTACAAGGTAACACTATCCGCAACTCAAAGATCAAGGAACTCGGGCTGAAGAGGTGACATGCCCTGCCCAAGGTCACCCATGCTGTCGCAGGGGCATGGCCTGTGTCCTCTAATTCCTAACTCCTGGGTGATATCAACCCCTCTAGGTGCTCCTGCAGAGATCACTCAGGCTAGCCTGTGGTTCTGTGAGAGGCAAGTCCAGGACTTTGCAAAAAAAAAAAAAAAAAAAGGCATCGTTATCAGCCTTGAAACCACCCAGAGCAGCTGCCCCCAGATCTCCCTGCTCCTGGCAGGACACCCACTCACTTGTTGAAGTTGATGAGCCAGATGGCAAGTTCGGCAGGGGCCGTCTGGTCCCAGTGGATGGTGTAGCCCTTCTGCAGGGTGACGACTGGCTGGTACTGCTGGTAATGGGTGCTCCTAGTGAGCGCCCCCTCCAGGTAGAGAGGGTGGCTGGGGAAGTCATTCTTGATGATCTTCATTCGCAGGTTACTGGTCTTGTAGGCTTGAATGTACATCTTTTAAAACCCAAAAAGGAAATATACAATGAGGCTATTACGAACGGTTATTCCAAGAGTGTCTGGTTAACATCTGACTACGGACTGCACTTTCAAAGGTGCTTTCTCTTTACAGAACCCTTTTTAGAAGGCTTGAATGAAAGGCCAAATAAGGAGACATCTTTTCCTGCTGGTGAACGCAGCGCCAGCCTTACTGTGTAGTCTAGGTAATGCTTTCTGTGCATCTTCATAAAAGTGCTCTGTTGAGTTTCCAGTGGAAATTTGAGAGAGTCTGCATCATAGTCAGATGGCAAATTCTGGACAAAGAACAGAGATGTGGACGGGGGAGGAAGGGAAAGAGAGGCAGGGAGAACTTTTATAATTCTGCCCTAAAATGTAGCTCGCCTGTAACTGGCAGTTGCTGTGCCTGCTTCTCAGGGAGTGCCTGGGTGTGTTGGCCTGCTTCTCCCTCCTACTCCCCCTCAGTCTCTGGCCCCTGAGGCCAGTCCTTGTGGTGCCACAACACACTGGATGAATAAATGGTGCCTCGTTTCAGAGGGAAAACCGAAAGCCAGACTGTCAGCCATTGAGTTCCAGGGACCTTAGAGCCTGGATGCTTTAGCCCAGCATTGGTTTAAAACACTGCATCCTGTTTTATGGCACTTCCCAAATTTATAAAACAATATCCCCTTAACAGCCAAGAGCGACAATCACACCAATGTGCCATGATGTTGTGCTTTCGGAAGAAAGTGGTTATCTTCCCCTCTAGTTTTATTGCATATAAGATGGAAAGAGAAGCTTCAACCATGCCATCTGAGGAAACTGTCCTGAGTATCAGAGGTAAGGGGTCCACTGAAGATTCTGTAAGATGTAAAGTGAAGGAAAAACACTATTAACCAGTTGCCAGTTGTGATAACCTGGCAGGCTCTAACAATGTTTTGGTTTTTTCACAGAAGATAAGCAACATATCAGAAAGAAAGTGTGGGAAGGAAAATCATGGCTCCATATGAGATACCCAGACCTTGAGCTGAGGCTGCGTAATGCTGAAAGTGTGGATGCCAGGCTTGAGAGTTTGGTCATCCTTCAATTATTCAGGGCATGACTCCCCTCCATCAGTTCTCTTCTGACTCCTATCTTCCTCAGACCATCACATCCACCACTCACTCCCATTAGTGACTTGGCTCTTCCCCTGCCCACACCTGCCGCAGAAGCCTCACCCTGGCTCATGACACAGCTCCACCTCTCCCAGGGCATAGAAAATCCCACAGCCTAGGAGAGAGCTGCCTCTGCAGATGCACCATCTCCAGTCTCCACTGCGCTTTCAACACTGCCAGGCGCTCCTTCCACAAGCCTCTTGTCAACATTTTCCACTCTCTGCAGCAGCTCTTCCAAATCTGTTTCAATCTCTGGAGGTTACTTTTCTCAAACCCAGTCCCCTAATTCTCAGCACATGACATCACCTTCTCCTGTAGAGAGGAACACCCTCAACTTCCTGCCCTCTGCCCCGTCTTCCTCTAGTCCTCCTTCCTGCTAAATGCTAGCCCGGCCACCACCTCTGGCACCTACTCCCCTAGCTGCACCCTGTGCCCCCTTCACCTCCCTATGGCCCCTTTCCTTCAGCCTGACACCATCTCCCTCTCCTATTACTCCTCCACCCTAAACCACCATTTAGCTCTTTTCCAGCACCCACAGTGGTGACAATGGTGCCTGCCTTGTAGGATAGCTGTGAAGACAGCGTCTTCATTCATACGTTTCCTTCACTCCCTGAGACGACCTAGCTCACTAGGAACCTGACAATTCATTTTCTCAGGCCTCTCTCCATTTACTCATTTATTCATTAGTCATTCATCAAAACACTAGAAGTAACAATAATATAACAATAGCTAACTAATATTTTCAGTTCTGCCCCATTCTAGGCACTGTCTAGACCTGCCCTGTCCCTCATGTGGCCACTGAGCACTGGACATGTGACCAGTGTGATTCAGGATCTTGAATTTTAAACTTTAATACATTTAAACTTTGAAACAAAAGCAATGTAAATATTTTTCCTATCCCATTACTCTGATTTGATCACTACACATGATATACATATATCAAAATACCACACATGCTCCAGGAGAATAGACTATGATCTAGCAGTAAAAATGCAAAACGAAATTAAAAAGAAAACATTCACATTGAACACAACGCTATTGTTTCAGCAGGACTGCACTTCCCTTTGTTGAAAATTGAGTGGCTTGAGAGTATAAAACATACAGTAGGTTTTGAAGACTTAGAAAACAACAAGTGTTTAATGATTTTCGACCCCGGTTCATGTTAAGATGACAGTATTCTGAATAAAGTATTATTACAATTAAATTGTTTCTTTTTCCTTTTTTTCCCCCAAAGACGGGTCTTCACTGTGTTGGTCAGGCTGGTCTTGAACTCCTGACCTCAGGTGATCTGCCTGCCTTGGCCTCCAAAGTGCTTGGATTATAGGCATGAGCCACCACGCCCTGTCTTTTTGACTTTTTAAGATGGCTACCAGAACATTTAAGGATACATGTGTGACTTGCATTACATTTCTATTGGATAGGGCTGGTGAAACACTTTACATGTATTTTCTGAAGCCATCCCCAAAATCTCACTTGGAAAGTTCAACTATTATCCCAGTTTTATGGGTGAGGAAACAGGTTCCACGCGTCTGAGTAATTTGCCCAAGGTCCAGTGGTAAGTGTTGGAGCCTGACTTGAATCTAAGCATTGGACCCAAATGGTTCTTTTCTTAAGCATTTTGCTTACTGAGTGTTTTGACTTGAACTTTATAAAAATCCTACTGGGTGAGAGGAAAAGATAAAAAGAAAGAAAAAAGAGATTCTGTATCTCTCTGGCCTGAAACAGAGCCAGGCATACAGTAGACACTCACTGAACGCTTGCTGCATGAGTGAATGAGTGAGTGACCGGGCCCCAGAAAGGTGTCCCCACCTGTGCATAGCGACCGCTGCAGATGGCTCCTCTCCAGTCGGGGACGTTGATGCACTCTGGGTGCCGGACCAGCCAGTTGTCATCTTTCGTGAGGTAGGAGCCTGGGTACTCGGACACGGAGCCATCGACGTCATGGAACACAGATGTCTTATCCCCATCCATGTCCAGCTGGTTGAACCAGGGCCCAGGCTCTCCGAAGAACACTCTGGAAGTAATCTAAACAGAGCCCAGGAAAGTTAGGCAGGGCTGGAAGGTGAAAGGAAACTGCAGCCGTCATCGGGCCAGGGCGAGGTTTCCGATTTCCACTGACATTACAAGCCGGCCAAAGCAAAGATGCTCTTGGGCACAGAGAGAAACCGCATGGCTGACCCCTCCGATGCAGCCGGAGTAACAGTCAAAGGTTCACCGTGCCTCAACTCCCAGACCTAGCACATGCTCCTGGCCTCTGCTCACTGGAGGGTTGGCTGCTGTGGGTGAGTGTGGAGACTGCTCTGAAATGTGGGTTTCACCGACGGCTAGGATGGAGGAGGGGACTGAGGACTGTGTGTGTGTGTGAGAGAGGTGGTGGTGATGTGTGTATGAGAAAGGGCACACACACACACACACACACGGGGGGCATCCGTGTACGAGAGAAAATGTGTGTGGGGCATGTTTCAGGAAGACAGTTTTGTCGCATGAGCCCTCGCAGACTTCCATGCCAGACCTCTTTTGGGCCCTCAGTTCCCTAAGTAAAGACATTAAGTAATTTCAGTTTCACATCTTCTCCCTGAGCCTGCCAGGAACTGGGGAAACGGGCAAAAGGCAAGAGCAGGGAGGAGGAGGAGGGAAAAGTCTAGGAATCTGTAACACGAGGGAAGTATACAGGAGGCCTGGCCCCGCCTGGTCTCACGGGGCAGCCCTTGATCTTGATCTCCTAACCCTCAGCTCTTCTGCCCTCTGTGTCTAGGGCAAGGAAGCCTCTGTTTATAGTCTGCTCTTGGGGAGAGATTAAACAGAACACCATCAGTTAAGATTTCCCTTGGAAACTGTGGGGCTTGTTAGATTCTTCGTGCCAACACAGGTGGCCTGATCACAAGACTCAGTTTGTCAAAGTCAAGACCCTTGGAGGAACAACCTAGGAACCTCAATCCGCACGTCGGCTTCCTCCTGAGGCCTGCCTGGGTTTTCAGCAGGGAGTGAGCAAGCAGGCATTTACCCAGACCTGACCTGTGGGGCAACCTACGCTTGTACTTTTCCAGTTTGGATGCAGAGCAAACTGGGACATGGCCCAGCCTAGTTGGAGGAGGCTTTTCAACCCCTTGTGGTGGTGGCAATAGCTCAAACTCTGGGCCCCAGGAGACTTGTGAATCACCATCCAAAGTCTGGGTTTGCCGGGAGTCTGCCCTGGCGCCTCACTCACCGGAACGTCCTCAAAGGCAATGCCGGTCACGTTGTTATGGGGGCAGCTCTGCCAGGCATTATTCAGGCGGAAGGCCAGGGCGCTGGTGTGCCGGCCCTCCAGGGCCACGAACTTTCGGAAAGTGCAGTTTTGAATGTTGATGGGGCCGTCATAGAACTGAATTCCTCTGATCGGAAAATTCCTATGGAGTTAAGTAAGATGTCAGTCTAAATGCCATGTTGTTTGGAGGTGAAACAACAGAGCAGAGACTTCCTGAGTAAAGCCATTCCTGATGCCCACCTCTGGCAACTGCCCCTGACCCAGATCATGACTGATTTGTTCATTCATTCATTCATTCATTCATTCATTCATTCATTCATTTAAAGCAAGTATAAACACAGTAAGTGTCAATGGATGACTGCCTGATGAATGGATGGATGGATGAGTGGATGGATCGGTGGATGAGTGGATGGATCGGTGGATGAGTGGATGGATCGGTAGATGAGTATCCATCTAGTTGCTGGTTTGGAGTTTGGAGAATGGTCCTGTGTTTCAACATTTCCCCCAATTTTTCAATTATATAGTCATTGGGTAAAGACTGTAAATACCACTGCCAATATTATGTTTCTTGGGAAGGTAGAGCTGTTAGTCATTATCGCCTTAGTTTTAGTTGCTATAACAATTAAATCAGATTAAGACCCACAGCAGTTTCTCCTCTGTGAGTAAGCCTTTCACACTGGCAGTGTGCTGGCTTTGGGAAATGGGGGGAAAGAACACAGAATGGAAGGTGATTAACATGTTAAAAGTAATTGTGAGGCAACATTTTTGGCACCCCTGGGCAAAGGGGAGGTCCCACTGGAAAGCAAGACAGTGGACTGACAGGGAACCCCAAGAAGGCCCTGAGACCCAGAAGAAGGTGGGAAGGGGCAACAGGCTTGGAGATGGAGGCAGGAGAGACTGGACAAGAGCTGGTAACTTGAAGATTTTGCCTTGGCCTAGCACGGAGTAGGTCGCTCAGACACACTCTCCCATTGCCTCAGACTCCTGAGCAGGGCATGGGCAGCGAGGGTCTGTGGGGCCGGCTGGGCTTCCTGGTGGCCCTTCTTGGGCCAGGCCCCACTCTAGGCTTGCTCCTCTAAATCCAACATGTATGCTTGTGCTGGTGTCTCTACATCTGGGTCGGGCCCGTTCTCTTCCACAGCAAATATAAATAAGGTAGAATAATGGAAAAAGAAGCAGAAAAAGTATCTGCCCACAGGGAGAGGCCATACTCCACCTGTCCTTGATCTTCAACCCTGCGCTCCCTTCCATTCCAATATGGTTCCTGGAGGAAGTCCTAGGCACAGCAGTCATGGTAACATGCCTTCATGGGCACCAAAGACTCTTTGCATTTCTACGTTTTTATGTTTATAACTGATTCACATCATGGCCTTGAGTCCTGATTCTCATGGGATGGCTCCATGCATTTCTTCATTTCACGTATTTTAGGGGTAGTCCATTTTTACTAGCTCTATATTTAGGTTTTGCACTTCAGGCCCTGACCCAGCTCTATACAAGATGGATCAGTCAGGATTAGGACTGTGCGGTCTTAGGTTCCTACCTGCAGATGCGATTTGAGGAAGCTGCCTCTGTCTGACAGGCTTCCATAAACAGGGTCACCTCAGGAAGTCATCAGAGCATTCTGACCCTGGGAGGCTGGCAACCCTTGGCAAAGAAATGCTGAACATGCAGACTCAGGGTCATGCATACAATGCTGAAAGGGACTGCTCCATCACTCAGGTTACACAGAAAGAAGGGCTTCTCACCAGCTCGTGCTGAAGGAGATTGTGATTTTGCCTTTGCAACGTCTTTTCCACGTCCAGTTGTGTTGGGAGTTTTAGGTCTATGTGTATTTAGTGTCCTGACTAATAGAAATTATATCTTCCTAGAGGAAGAGTAGGAAGCTCAGGAAGATAAGAAGGGCTGATCTTATCACCAGGAGCACAGGGGCCTACTCACAGGCTCAGAGCCCTGCTCTCTGGCTTGAATTCACATCTGAGCAGAAACACGAGCAGAAGGAGGAAAATTTCCCCACCACTGACCCAGCCTGTGGCCTTCCAAGAAATTGACTGAGTCCATTTTCCCTGTTTGCTCATCAACCCTCCAAGTCACCCACTCACTCTCCACCCGCCTGCTTCACGTCTGACCTTCATTTACACTCCCCCAGCTGTAGAGCCCAGGACTCCTTAGGACAGTCCCGCTTTTCTGTTGTTGAGGATGTCTGACTGTTAAAAAGATCCATCCTTCTTGCACTAAGCCAACCCTAAGCCATAGGGCCATGTAGAATGAGTCGCAATGTGCACAGCAGCTCTGAGGACATGTAACAACATCCCTCATGTGATGGCCCTGAAGTGGTGGTCCGTCTCCTGGCTGAATACCCCAATCTGCATGTGACATGGCTTTGGCTTTTGTCACCCTCCTGGTTATTCTCCATTAACTGTGCTTCGTCCTGACTCTATCACTGGGCCATCTTCAGGAGTGGATGAAACACTCCAAGTGAGTCTGCTGTCACAGAAAAGGACTCAACAGTCCCTGATCCCAGACACCAAATTCCCATCAACAAAGGCCAGGAACGCATTACGCATTTTGATGGCCACATTGCCCTGATGCTCATATTCAACACTGTTTTTTGACTTCTGTCTCCCCATTTCTGATTTCATCCCTTAATTGTTAGTCTCAGTCACCTCAGTGATTCCTCTGGCTGGTACAGGACAGAAGAATTCATAGTCAGCAGGTAGAAACCACCCATTAACTTTTTCCCTTCCATCATAGCCACTTAGGCTAAGCCATGCAGAACAAGGAGCTACCAGGGTTGCAAACCTACTGGCCTATAGGGAGGGTCCTTCCGCTATGGTCCACGCCGCCGGGGCCCCAGATCCTGTTGTCCATCATTTCTGTCCCCACGTTGCCACTCTCGCCAACAAACAAGCTGTTCTTTATCTCCTGCTTGGAGCCTTCATCATACGGGAAGGTTCCACCGCTAGAGAGAGAAAATGTGTGAGGTGAGATGTCCAGAGACAAGGTCCCACAGAGGGCCGAGCACAGTGACAGTCGCCCTTACCTGGCCAGGGTCAGGCCGATGCCATTGTCAGCAAACCTGTGGATGAGAGCAGATTGATAGTCAGAGCATGCCGTGGCTTCACCTTCAGTGGAGTTGTGGAGAGGACTCTTCCTGTCCTTGGAGTCATACTGAACACGGTGCAGAGGAAGGAGACTCTACGTTAGCAGAGGGGTTGCTCAGGAAGTTGTGGCTCTCCTGTTCACAGGAAGGGGGTGTGCTGGGTCCCCTCCCACTCCGACTTTGACTCTAGAGAGAAAATGGGGACCCCAGTAGCTCCCCACGTTCAATGGTATTCACAATAGGCAGACTGGGCTCCATGTGTCTCCCTCTCCAGCTCCCATCCTCTGTGACTCCAGGCCTTAGTTTGAGGTTGGATCAGGAGAACTTTGAGGGCCTTCCGCTCTCAGGCCCAGCACCACAGAAAGGTGGAGTATGAGAATGGACTTCTATTTTTCTTCTTTTACCATCTTCACTGCTGGTTCAGCCATAGAGAGAAGCACCAATAGCTACTTTTCAAGTCCCCAGGAAGTCAGGCAGATGCTGGCCCTGAGAAGGGCAGAAGTCATTTTGCAATTGCACTGGGGCCATCTCATCAGCTCCCTTTCACCTCTGTCCTTTTTAGGGGTCAGATGAGCAAGCTCCAGGGGGGCATGTGATTGTGAGGGACAAAGGATTACACAGAATCCTGAGCTGAGCCTTCAGTCCATGCTACCACAGACTTCAGAGCCAAATACAGCGGCCACCTTCACTTCCTGTGTTCAGGGGTAGATTTAACTGGTCTCCACGCCTCTGCTTCTCCCATCTGTACTGTCCACCCTGCCAGGCTCATCTCAAAGTACCATTCTCACCAACCCCTCTGCTCCCTAAAATTTCCATGGCTTTTTAACCTTCATAGACCCAAGCTCCAGGGCCTGGTGAATCCATCCCAGCTGCACCAGGCTGGTCCTGGGGGCCAGGACGCTCTCTAGCGCCCAATGTGCTTTTTCATACTCTGCCCACCCTCTTTCAGGACACAGGGAACTTTTTCTTTTTCCAAAGCCCATTTAGTTCAAATCCATCATTCCAGGCCTATCATTAGGGCATCATCTTCTCCATTTATTTTCCAAAACTTCCTGAGTCTTGTCTCCCAGACCCCTCCATGGCTTTTCCTCATTGCTTCTGCCCCCCAATGCCCAGCTCTTCATCCCCTCATTCTCCACTATGTCCCTAGGAATGTCACAGAGACTTATAGTTCCCATGCCCACCGACCCACTGATGACTCCAAAATCAGGTACTTTTCCGGCCTGCACTTCCCCAATTTGGGACCTTCCCGGTAAATGTCTCATGAGCATCTCAAACTTAGCATGTCTGAAACAACACAATTTTCTTCTATCCAAGCCCGTTCCCCATTCCAAAGGCTCAGTTTCAACCAAGCTCTCATGACCTGCAGTCCTCTCTCATCTGGACCGTGGCAGTAGTATCTTCACTGGCCTTCCTGCCTCCAGGAGTGCCCCTCCCATCCCTGCCTGCAGCCAGTGTTTATACAGTGACCTTCCTGACATGACTACAATGGCCAAATGCACCAGTCTTTGAAGGGATCCCAATCCTCTGTCAGTCCCTGACTGTGCCAACCTTGTCTACGTGTAGGACCACAGCCTTGGTGCCAGTCAGATCCTGGGCCACCGTGGAATGAATCTAGTAGAGGATTAAAAGATACACCCACTTTGGCAGGAGGGGTCTTCAGAGTTTTTCTTGCTGCCCTAAATCCAACATTTACCATCTCTTTAGGAACCCAAACTCTGAGACGCCCAACAACCAGAACCAAGAAATTTACCAAATTTATGATATTGCAAAGAATTTTAGCACTGACACCATCTAGTTTCTCTTCAGTCCAGGGCTTCCACCCACCTTTTGGTAGTGCCCCTCCCAAGGATGCTGTAGGGTCTGCTCTAGGGATGAGCAGCCTGGCAGCTTACCCATTGACTGGTGCCTCATGTGGTAGGAAGGTTCTTCCTTCTCCAGAGCTGAAACCCGCCCCATGCCTATCACTTCTGCCCTCTAGAGCCAATCAGAACCAGCCTGCCCCCTTCCCCTAAATGCCCTTCAGAAACCCAGAATCAGCTCTCCTTTCCCTTTCCTTCTTCTTAAAATGAATGACTTCTCTTCTCCTGTGCAAAATGAAGACCCCTCGGCCAGGTGCAGTGGCGTACGCCTGTAATGTCAACCCTTTGGGAGGCCGAGGCAGGCAGATCACAAGGTCAGGAGTTCGAGACCAGCCCAGCCAATGTGGTGAAACCCCATGTCTACTAAAAATACAAAAAATAGCTGGGTGTCGTGGTGCATGCCTGTAATCCCAGCTACTTGGGAGGCTGAGGCAGGAGAATTGCTTGAACCCAGGAAGCGGAGCTTGCAGTGTGCTGAGATCACACCACTGCACTCCAGCCTGGGTGACAGAGCAACAATCTGTCTCACCAAAAAAAAAAAAAAAAAAATTGAAGGCCCTCAGTCTCTCTGTCTCTGTTTTTGGTTTTGTTTTTCTGAACTTTTTTTTCCTATTGTTTATTTTTGACCACTGCCTACTGCCATTCTATGCCCCAGCCTGGCTGGGTGATCCGAAGGTCTTTGAAACTCCCCGTCTCTGTCTTCCACGTGTCTTCCTGGGGCTCCATTGCTAAGTCAGGTTCTCCTCAGGTCTGTGTGTTTCTAAGCAGCCTTTCTCTCCCTCCTCCTCTCTCTTGCACTCTGTCAATGCTGTGTCTCTGCTTTTCTCCTCACATACTTTTCAATTTCTCTTGCTCCCTTTCACCTTTATTACTCGTTTAATTGGTCACAATAAAATAGAGAAATATGTTTATTTCCTAACAGGGTTTCTGATTTCCCATTTTTTAACACAAAAGGCAGACAAGGAGACATTTCACAATATTCCCTGAAAACAAACCCCAGCTCCGCTGCCTGCACCTTCCGGTCCTTGTCCAGTGTGTGCCAGTCACTCACGCAGGGACTGAGAGCTCAGCCTTTCTGAGCCTTTCCCTGCCTTTCTCATCTGGGTCTTGCAGTCCAGTGAACTGTAGCCCCAAGCTCCAGTTCAGACACTAGCTAACTGCATGACCTTGAGAAATTCACTAAACTGAACTTCAGCTATCGTTTCTCAAATGGAGATCATAATTTCTATCTTTGAGAAACATGGTAAGAAATGAATGCAACCAAGTCTTCCCCGCAGTAAGTGCCTAGAATATTCTGGCTTCTTTCTTCTTCCCTCCCTTAGCTGATGACCGTGTGACCTTGAGCGAGCCAAGCCCAGTGACTATTTGGAAGCAAATCACAACAGCACCTGGTACTGTGGGCTGAAGCCAATATGCTGCTTTCAGGTTTTGTTTTTTCATTTTTTTTCTTTTTGGTCACTGCCTGCTGCCATTCTATGCCCCTGCCTGGCTGAGGGACCAGAAGGCCAAACGTCAGTATGTCTGGCTTCCCCTCTCTGCTTTGCTCTCCTCTCTCTGTGGGGCGCTGGGGGAAGACACGTCATGCCCACTTTGTGCCAAAGCCACACGCCGCTCTGACTCACCGGCAGCTGTCCAGCCACACGTCCCCGCCACGCAGCCAGGCCCCGTGGTCCTGGTTCTTGTAGGCAATGAAGTGCCTGATGATGGCTGGCTCCCGGGGCTTCAGCGGGTCGGCTTCCTGGTGAGGACTGTATCTGCAGCACACCATGGGGAGGGCACAGGTGGCAGTGTGGGGGGCATGCCTCTGCTGACTCCCTTCTTGGCTCTGTGAGCCTCTCTCTACTCACAGTGCCCAGGAAGGCACTGAGTACACAGAAACCCATTCTCATTGAATGAACCTTCTGAGCTCATTAGAGAAGCAACAGGTCTCTCCTCCATGGCCCAGCCCATGCGGGCTATAAACAGGGCACCTTTGTTTTTCGTCAGTACCACCAAAGAGCCTGCCCCCGAGTGGGGGCAGAGCACAGAGGAAAGTTCAGCTAGCCAGTCCCAGCAGCACATGCAACGCAGTGCTTGTGGCCCAGCAGGAGAGTCTGGGGATACACTGCTCTTCCACTAACTGGCAGGTCACCTTGAACTGGTGCCTCTTCTGGGGACTTCTTAGTTACAAAACACAGTACACTATCGTGTTACCAGTGTTACCCACTTTTGATGGAGACCAAGCAACTTGTCTCTTTAAAGGGGATTGTTTTTGCTAATTACCTTGAGGTTTCAAAAGTACCTTTTAAAAGTTGCCCCTGGCCTTTGCCTGAACAGCAGGTTTATTTATAGGAATGACCTGCATATTCTTTCCCATTAAATTGATGAAATTCTTCCCTTCTATTCTCTTCACCCTTTCATCCTGGCACCTCTTGTGGCGGTGCTCATTTCTGCTGACTTACCAGGTATTCACTTTGCTTCAGGATCTAAAGACCTCTGGGAATTTCTATCTTCCTTTGGCTATTGGAGCTGGAATCCTAATTGACTTTACCCTGGCTCAAGTTTTCACCATTGTACCCCCAGCAACTAGCTCAATGCCCAGCACAAACCAAGACCTCAACAGATGCCATGAATGAATGAGTGGCTGAAGGAGGGGGAGGCAGGAGTTGGACTGCAAGGTCACCATGGACTGTATCTTCCCAATGGCTGATTACCTGGCAGAGATGATCGAGAGGAAGGGCCGCTTGTCTTTGGCAGAGGCCTCGGTGGTTTTGACTCCGTTATCTATGATCATGCCAGCCTGCAGGGAAGAGACATTCAGGGACACATTAGCTTCTACTGCGGGCTGCAGGCGTCTTCTCACACCCAGCCTCACTGCATACCTCTGAATGCTCCAGGAAAAACAGCTCTGTTCTCAGGCTGCATCAACAGAAGTAGAAGATCTACAGTGAGGGAGGTGAAGACACCGCCTTATTCTGCATGGCTCAGACCAAATCTGGAATATTTGACCTCTTTGAGGAGCAGATATGGAAACTGAAGTCTAGAGAGGCATGTGTCTTGTCCAGGGCCACATGGTACAGTTCATGTGTGGAACCCACACTGCTTTGGACAGTTATTAGCCCAGGCCTCAGGTCAACAACAGGTGTTAATGCTTAGGAAATTTATCTGCTGTGATTTAAAGGAAACGCTGAACCTAAGTCCTGTGTTTACCTTAGGCAGGGGTCAGTGACCTTCCTGCGGTCTCATTTTAGCTCCTGCCTGACTTGAAGAGAGAATCTGGCTTTCTTGTTTGACTCCAAACACGTCCCCTTTGTCAGCTGTGGGGTAGGGAGAAATCGCATGGTGCTGCCCAGGGAGGCCACCATGCAGTCTTCACTCCTTTCCGGATTCTCTTGGCCTCTTGTGAATGCTCAGACCCGGATTTCTCTTCTTTAGATAACTGGAGGGCACTGTGGCCATTCATTCTCCAGCTGGCTTATCATTCGGCAGTGGCGATGTGAGTCAGGTGATGTGGGGTTGACTCGCAGCTCTCCACTCCTGCTAACTATGACTTCACTTCTTTAGCCTCAGTCATAGCGTCTGCAAAATGGGCTAGTAACACCTACATCACATGATGGTTGCGAGGACCCGATAAGAGACCCCAGGTGACACCTCCTGGGACAGGTCCCTCTCAGTGTGGATGTGGAGTCAAGGCTTACTGGGCATAAACACCAAGGACGGGGCCTCCTCCTTGGCTCAGACAATGGAATCAATGCAGCTGGAGGTTCCTCTTCACTTTTTCCCTCTCTACCCCAGAGAGTGAGACCTGCTGCCTTCCTCAAGGCTCGTCCCTGTGCACACCTGTGAGCCCTTGCATGCTGCTTGTTGGAAACCATCCACCCACGTGTACTCCCTGCTTTCCAGCCTCTCCATACCTGCTAGGTTCTATGTGGCCCACCTCCCTGCTCATGGGAAGCCTTCCCAAGTTGTGGGTGTGGGGGATGTCTTGACAAGCAGCCAATACATTCTCTCCACTGTTCCCCTGCCACCAATAGTGATACGCCCCTGCACCTGCCTCTATATGGAGACAGCTCTCTGAGGTCCGTGCCAGTCTCAGAAATGGCCTCTCTGATACCCTGCTCTAATTCTCCTCCGTCAAGGCAAGACTGTTGTTCTTCCTCCTCTGTCCCCTGCCCCATGACATTGCCCTCTTTCCTAGTTCCTGGGATACAACACTGCCCAGAGATGACTCTTCTCTCTCTGCCACCCAGCCCCAACCTGCTCGTCCCTTGCCCTACCCCATCTCGTAGGTGTAAGCACATTCTGAGACATGCTCCCTTTCAGTCTTCTCTCTGGTTGGGCTTTTTTCATCTTTTTACTTTTTGACTCTGCATGTATCTGTTACCCTTGAGGAGTATCAGTTTCTTCATCAGTACCATTAGGGATTCAACCAGAACACCAGCCTAGGCATTTGGGAGTCTCCCGGCACACTGCCCTGGCATCCTTGAGACTACCTCTGCCCTCACAAACAGCGTCTCTGATCTCAGCTGTGCCCCAAGCTCCATTCCCAGGCCCCATGACTCTGGTCTTGACTGCCATCCTTGCTGGGATGTCCTTGACAGACTCAAGATCCCACTCATCTCAGGATGCTCTGTCCCACAGTGCCTAGCTTGGTGCTAGACACAACAGCAGGTGCTTAGGACATGTTGATGAGCAAATGAAGATGACTGGGGACTTTGTGTCCCACCTGGCCACTTAGCTCTGTGCAGATGCAGCATTCATTTCCCAAGAAATAAGACAAGAGGGAACAGCAGAGAGCATGACAATGCTGCCTCCCCCGTCCTTCAGAACCATGTCTCCGTTTCCTTCTGCTTATAGATCAGGCTAACTTTTCATCATTGAGACCGCATCCATGACCACCAAGGGAATTGCAAGCAAATTCAGGTGCCCAGCTTAGGCAGCTCTCCCCCGTCAACGTGAGTGAAGGCACAACTTGCTGCTTCTAGCTCTGGGCACGTGCTAAGTCCACGCCTGTACGGGAACCACCACAGGAGATTCGTGTGAAGAATGTGGCCAATGGCCTGGGAGCCTCGCAGGGCTGCTCCATCTTCTTTGGGACCAACATGAAGAAGGCAGTTGTTCCCAGCTGTCGCCAACTGGCCACCCTGGCTCTAATCATCTGCAGGCCTGGGAAGGGGACCGAGAGGCTGGCCGGAGAGGCGCAGTCTGGAAAGACTTACCCGGTAGTTGGAATGTGCTCGGTTGTTATGGAATTTTCCCAGTGGAATGTGCTCTGAGTAACCTGGGGAGTACATTCCCACGGAGGGCCCTGTCGGTACGTGGTGGAAAATGAACCAAAATCCAGTTTCCTGTTGGGGAAGGACACAAGGGGAAAGCCACAGCATTCAGCCCCAGAGAGCTCCTGAGCCAGGCAGCCACACAGCCCACCCTGAAGGGTGGGTCTAGTACCCAGTGCCAACACCCACGCAGGCCCTCAATGCCCACCCCAGCACACCTCCATGTGGTCTGGTCTGGAAGGAAAAGAGTGCAAAGTAGAGCCCACCACAATAGTTCAAGCCCCGCAGGGGTTCCTACTCTATCAGACACAGCTCAGAATGGATGTGTTTCAATCACTGCAGGGCTTAAACTCCTCCTACACACAATGAGAGGATTTCATGAGTGTTCTCTGTGTGCCCCTTTCATTCTACAGATAAGGAAGCTGAGTCCCAGGTCAAGGTCAAGGTCCCATGGAAGGCCATGAGCAGGGCTATGTGGACGGCATGCTGTGCTGCCACCCTGGCCGCCACCTCCCAGCTGTGTGTGTCCCCGGGCATGTCAGTGCTCCTAACCTTAGCTTCCTCCCACATCATAGGGGGTTAATAACGTCACCGGGTTATTGCAAGAACGTCACCTCGTTCTTGCAAAAATCGAATTATGTGAGCTTACAACACTGATGTGTCAGGTACCATTCTAAGCTAAAATCATGGCATTCTAATATGATTTATTATACATAAAGTGTTCAGGGCTAACTGTGGTCACCAGTATTATGAAGTGACAGGGCTGTCCTTTAAAACCAAGTCCAAAGGACGCCCCCGACCCACCACCCCCAGTCTATTCTTTTCCTTCACTGCAGCTAAGCCTGTCTGCATGGATGTCTGCACTTGGGGCTCAGAGCACACATGTTTCAGGGTACACCTCAGCTGTCTCCCTGCCTCCAGCCCCTACCCTCATCTTCTACCAGAGAAGGGATATTTCTGCTCACCTCAGATCCTGCAGCGGCGCAGTTGATGAGGTTGTTGTTAGGATTGGCCATCCAGAAGGTGGACACGGCACTGCAGGGAGGGCAGAGATACCTGAGGTCAAAGGGCCACCAGGGGTCACCCTACCTCACGGTGGGCGCAGGTCGGGACTCTGATATTGGCCTGAGAGTCTCTTGTCAGATATTTGAGAAATCATTGATTTGTTGATCTGAAACCCAGTTTTCTCATTAAAGTGTGGTGCTAGTTTAAGCACTTAAAATGTTCAGAAATTAAAATGAGCATGGGTCTTGAAAATAGAAGCCATGTGTGAATGATGTCAGAGTGGCTCTAAAATATGCATAGGTCAGAAGAACCCAGGAGCATAGCCCTTTCTAAGGGAGGGGTCCTGCATTTGGAAGGCTAGCTGCACCAAGTCTCTCTGTCCTCTGTCTTCTCTCTGGAAAAGGTCTGTGTGGTGGGGTCCTTCGTGGCAGCCGAGGTGGCAGCTGCTTCCTCTCATCAAAGAGCACCGTGTGGATCAGGAGAAGCTCCACAGATGAGAACAGGGGCCCTCTTTGGACAAGAAAAATGCACATGAGGCAAACTGAGAAGGGAGAAGGGAGAAGACGCCCTCCTGCCTGCTCTGCAGGAAGCTGGAGCAGTAGGTGGTTAAGGGCTGTGAGGCTCAAGCTGTGCAGAGCCCCACAGTGCTGGGCTGAGCTGAGTGAACACATGCTCACACATCCACACCCCATCCCCTGGCACACAGAGGGGGGGTCCAGGCACTTACTTGCAGTCCTGCCTGGGCTTGGGGATGTACCCGGGATAGGAGTCCTCGGTGATCATCTTGCACATCTTACTGTCACGGTCTGAGGGGAGGAGGGTTCCAGACTTGACAAGCAGGCCAAGACAGTGGTCAAAGGTGTTGCGTTCCTCTGGTCCGTCTTCCGTGAAGAAGCAGTGGCCCAAAGAGTTGTAACCCACGACGTCCTTGATCTGCAGGGGCCAAGACAGGGAGGCTCACCAGGCATCCAGTTATTCATGCACTCATTCATTCATTCAGCAGACGCTGAATAGTATCGCCCGTACACCAGGCCCTGGGAGGAGCACTGCAGGTTTGGAGATGAATATGACAACAAGGGATGGGCCTGGGGAAAGTGGAACAGGGGATGGGATGGTGACTTTTAAAATTCCTTTCCAGCTGAAGGAGTTGGGGGTGGTGAGGCTCTATAGGGTAGGAAAGAGGGCAATATATCATAAATGAGAAGGTGAATCCAAGAGAGGCCATGGACTGGACCACGTGCACCCACTCTGATGAGCACACAGCTGAGTGCCTTGTGTACAAGGACTTACCATGGAGGGACTCCACTGAGTAAGGGTGGAAGAGGGAACTCCGTCTAGGAGCAGCCCCTGAGCTGGGGCAGGTGCGCTTATTATTGAGACCAATATTCATGCTCCTCATTGTATCCTCATCCAGAAATCCAAGCCAACGTGTTAGCCCAGTTGCGCATCAAGCCACATTCGCAACGCCTGGCTTCAGAACTAGAAAGGGCTGCAAACTCCAGCTCTTCAGTTTCCTTCTTGGAATCACACAGTCAGTGGGGAAAGCAGGAAGAGCATTTGTGTGGATATTGAGATACCAGGGATTCAGTTTCAGCAGCACATCCAAGCAGCGTGGGGATCTTAGGCCTCCTATTTTCTCTTCATGCGCTTTTTTCCCACCGCAAAAATGAAGGACTTAAACTCCATGATCTCTGAGGACTCTTCTGGGTTTGAACTCATCAATCTCAGAACTCAGGTCTTCAGAGGGCCCCTAACCTGCGACCTGCCTCCCTGTCCATTGGCAGACCCTGTTTCCAAGCATAACTGGCAAACAGGTACCCTGCTTCCAAGCATAACTGGCAAACAGGTACCCTGCTTCTGCTCAGACACTCCAGAGAGAGGTTCACTTCCTTGCAAGGTGGCCTGTTCCACAGTGGGGCAATGGCGAGAAACGCCTCACTTATCTTCCTTCATCCTTGCCCCCGGGGACAGACTGCCCAATGATGTCATCCAACAAGGGAGTTCCTGCTTCCCGATGACATCAATTCAACCCACACCTATTCAGTACCTGCCACCATGCCAAGCACTGGAAAATCCACATACCAACCAGCAGCAACGCTTCCTCTCCTCCCCGCCCCAGCACTGTGAGCATGTTGAGAGGCTGTCCTGTGCATTGCGGGGTGTTTAGCAGCCTCCCTGGCCGCAACCTACTAGATGCCAGGAAAAGCTCTTCAGTTATGACCACCAAAAATGTCTCCAGACATTCACTGCCACACATTCCAGTGGGTAGGAGGGAGGAAGGGTGACAGAATCATCACTGACCGAGAGGCCTTGATGTAAACACCACAGTTCCCTCCAGCCTTTTTTTTTTTTTGAGACAGGGTCTGGTTCTGTCATCCAGGCCAGAGTACAGTGATGCGACCTTGACTCACTACAACCTCTGCCTCCTGGGCTCAAACTATTCTCCCACCTCAGCCTCCCCGGAAGCTGGGACTATAAGCATGTGCCACCACGCCTGAATAATTTTTGTATTTCTGGTAGAGATGGGCTTTCACCAGGTTGCCCAGGCTGGTCTCAAAGTCCTGGGCTCAAGCAATCCTTCTGCCTTGGCCTCCCAAAGTGCTAGGATTACAGGCATGAGCCACTGTGCCCAGCCCAGAGTCTTTCATATGACAGCTGCCTACTCCCCAAGCCCCAGACAGCTGACCTTTAGAAGCATCCTCAAACCACACTCCACACCCCAGCACTGGACGGGTCCCTTCTACCTTTCAATCTTGTTGAAATCTCACACCATCCTCTATTCAATTTTTATTTTGTTTGTCAGAGATGAGGAAAATGAGACTCAGAGAAGGCAAGTGATTTGGCAGAGGTCACATGAGCCATATGTACAAGGTTATGGCTGAAAGCATGGTTTTCTGTGCCCACTCATTCCATAAGGGAGGACCCAACATACAAGTGGCTCTGTTCCAGGCAAGCTCTCGGTTCTTTTGAATAAGCCTCCTTCCCTCCATCTTTGGTAATAGGCAAGGATGTGATCTTAAATCCTATTCACTTGTTTAATAAGTCAGTCAGTATCGCGGTCAGCCAATGGGACTGCTTTCCTTTCTTCTAGTAAGCCCTGGAAGCTTGTTATAAATAGCCAGGACAGACAAGCCTGGGACGAAAAAGACAAGGAAATGTGGGCTTCCCGAGCTGGCAGGAACATCTGTGGTCAAGTGTAATGCCTTCAACTTTATAGAGGAGGATGCCAAGGCCCAGAGAAGGGATGTGGAGTGTCCCAGGACACTCAGTGACCTCACGCTGCCGCTGTGCTCAGACCCAGGCCCCTGGCTCCCTGCCTGCCCCCATAGCTCTTTCTGAATCTTCGGGACCCATTTGCCCTGTTGTGTGGATCACACTTTGGGTAGTCTTTCTCTGAATAGGAGCAAATAATGACTTAGGTGCATTCTTTTTTTTTTGGAGACAGAGTTTCGCTCTTGTTACCCAGGCTGGAGTGCAATGGCGCGATCTCGGCTCACCGCAACCTCTGCCTCCTGGGTTCAGGCAATTCTCCTGCCTCAGCCTCCTGAGAGCTGGGATTACAGGCACGCGCCACCATGTTGACCAGGATGGTCTCCATCTCTTGACCTTGTGATCCACCCGCCTCAGCCTCCCAAAGTGTGGGGATTACAGGCGTGAGCCACCGCGCCTGGCCAGGTGCATTCTTACTCTAAAAAATGCCAGAGAAAGAAATTCCCTCTAAGACTTTCGAGATGTGAGAGAAAAAGCCTCATTGAAAGGAAGAAAAATGACCATTGTTTATCAGAGGCTAAATGTTTTGACAAGTTATCTTATCTAAACCTCATCACAACGACAATTCTGTAAATGACACTGGGACTTAGAAAGTTGCCCCAAGTCACTTCTCTTGCAAGGACCAAATTAGGACTTGATTCCCCATCTGTCTGATTCCATAACCTGTGTGTGAATGAATACTCAACAATGCCGGAGAGAAAAAGACTCTCTCATTTTGGGCTGCAGTTCTTCTCCTTAGTAGCGGCGTGAGGATGGCACACAGAATCAAGAGGGAAGCATAAGGCCGAGGAAAGCCCTAGGGTGGGGGCGGAAGACACAAGTTCAGGTCTTTACTAAGCCTCAAGCTGTGTGTGACTTGCCCAAGTGTCCCTGTGCAGTGAGATGACGTCTAAAGTTTCTTCCAGCTCTAACGTTCTGGTCTTGTTCCTCCTTAGATCATTTCTCAGAGTTAAATATTTCAACTGTGACATAGCTTGAGATGACAGATGTAGACAGATGTTTGGATAGGTAGATGGATGGCTAGTAGCAGATGCATAAATAGTAGCTGCATAAACAAACACGCATATAGATTCAAGGGTGGCCATTCAGTCCCTATGCATGCCAATCAGAAGTAATTCTCTTGCACAAATTGTATTTTTCCCTCTGTTCTTCGGGATACCTTCCTCCCTGCTGATGGCTGGCAGTTGTGAAAGCAATTGCTAAAAGCTGTTTTAAGTGTTCAGCCATTGTTAGGTGTGGTCCAGGCATAGGATGGCGAAGGAGAAAGTTCCTGGGCTCTGCCTGACCATCAGAGCTGCAAACAGCCAGCGCAGACTGCTTCAGTGGGGGTGGCCATCTTATTTAGTTTATGGTCTGAACCAGGACACTTTTGAAGTGAAGGAGCTGTGATTAGTAGTTAAGCTGGGGCAACAGGTCTAAACTAGACCGTTCTGTGCAAATCAGGACATATCTGTGTGCGGTGATTTCTACCATCAACTTGTATACAGCAAGTAAAAGAAACTGCTGTTTAAAACAAATACAGATAAAACTGAACTTTGTTTCTGCCTTCTAGGGTGGGTATGATATGATTTATGTTATTGAGAAATGTGGCTGGGCGTGGTGGCTCACGCCTGTAATCCTAGCACTTTGGGAGGCCAAGGTAGGTGGATCACCTGAGGTCAGGAGTTCAAGACCAGCCTGGCCATCATGGTGAAACACTGTCTTAAAAAAAAAAAAAAAGGCCAGGCGCGGTGGCTCAAGCCTGTAACCCCAGCACTTTGGAAGGCCGAGGCGGGTGGATCACAAGGTCAAGAGATCGAGACCATCCTGGTCAACATGGTGAAACCCCGTCTCTACTAAAAATACAAAAAATTAGCTGGGCACGGTGGCACGTGCCCGTAATCCCAGCTACTCGGGAGGCTGAGGCAGGAGAATTGCCTTAACCCAGGAGGCGGAAGTTGCAGTGAGCCAAGATCGCGCCATTGCACTCCAGCCTGGGTAACAAGAGTAAAACTCCATCTCAAAAAAAAAAAAAAAAAACAGAGAGAAACTCAACAACAAATACAGTCATGTTCTAAAGAACACTGGAATTTCCAATCTTATGCCATTACTATTATTTCTTAATTTCTTTTTGAACTGCTGAAAAGGAGATTGCATAGAGTAGGGTAGTGGGTCATTTGTTTTACCGACTGTCTTAATGAGTTTTTGAATATGCAAATTAAAACTGGGAGGAGAAAAACACCTGGACAACCAAATTACTCTGGCTAACAAGGAAAGGAGTGCGTTTCTAAGGCAGCCCAGGAGAGGTGGGGAGGAGGATGGAGAATGAGGAGGAGGGTGGAGAATGAGGAGGAGGATGGAGAATGAGGAGGAGGGTGGAGAATGAGGAGGAGGGTGGAGAGTGAGGAGGAGGGTGGAGAGTGAGGAGGAGGGTGGAGAGTGAGGAGGAGGGTGAAGAGTGAGGAGGAAGATGGAGAGTGAGGAGGAGGATGGAGAGTGAGGAGGAGGGTGGAGAGTGAGGAGGAGGGTGGAGAGTGAGGAGGAGGATGGAGAGTGAGGAGGAGGATGGAGAATGAGGAGGAGGGTGGAGAATGAGGAGGAAGATGGAGAGTGAGGAGGAGGATGGAGAGTGAGGAGGAGGGTGGAGAGTGAGGAGGAGGGTGGAGAGTGAGGAGGAGGATGGA